TCTGCCTTGACCCTGGAGTCATCCATGCTGTGTCACAGCCCCATTCCCACTCGGACCGTGGCAGACAGGGATGCACCAGGAAAGAGCACAGCCATAGTAGAAATGGCACTCTTGGGCAGAGCAGTGCCAGGGGTTTCAGATGGATTCTCCCTTGGGAAAGCTGTTTGATGCACAACTTGCAGGAAGCAGCAACAGAATGAAGGGTGAGAAACAGATGGAGAAATTAAAGAGAAATGAGGTCTGGAAGATTATGTCACCTTACTCATCTCTGCCACATGGAGTGAGGGCTGTTCCCACCAACAAACCAAAAGGAAACATCAGCCTTTTGTCTCACAAACAGTAAAGCTCTGCAGAGACGGGCCTTGAACCTCCTGTGCCTCCTGCCCAGAGGGAATTCAAGCACGAGCCACCCAGAACTGCATGGTGAGGGAGAGGGACACCCTTCACAGTGCCAGCGCACCTTGGGCTCCCACTGTGAGCCCTGGCTAATGAAGATGTGCAGAAAGCAAAGGCAGAAGCTGGCTGTGCCCCAGGTTTGCAGCTGAACAATGCTGGCAGAGCTAAAAGAACTCACCTTCCAGCCAGCATTTGCTAGCTGGCTCTAAAAGCAGAAGGCAACCCCCACCAGAACCCCCACAGCCTGCTCGGGGCATGGGTGACACGTGGACCTCTCCCAGGGTTGGTCCTGATGGCACAGGACAAAGCCAGGGAGATGGGCAGCCACCTGACAGCCCCTTGGGATGTGCAGTGCTTTTCCCTCAGGCAAGGCTTTCTCCTTCACCTCCCCTGCCCTCAGCCTGCCCCTCCAACACCCTGGGGCTGCTCCCCAGCCCACCGAGGGCAATGACAGCTCTCGGGGTCTGTCACCCTCCTGCAAAGGAGGAGGCTGAGGCTCCCCAAGCCCAAGAGTTACAGTTAAAGCGACTCCCACGCAGCTGTTCTGAACTCCAACCTCCGCTGCAGTGTTCCAAGTCATCACCCTCCAGGTGTCTCACGGTGGGCAGAAGAACCTGCCTCAAACGTGCCGTGGTGCTCCCATGAGCTCAACCAGAAGATGCTGTGCCCAGGCCTGGGATGGGCTGGCTGACTTGCCAGCTGGGAAAAGAGCAGCACTGTGCTGGAAGAGGCACAGAGATGGGAGGTGCATGGTGACACCATGCTGAAGGTAGAGGAGAAAGAAGCTCAGACACGCTGCAAATAGGAAATCTTCACCACCTACCTTTGTCGTGGCAAAGCATCACTGTCCCACACCTCATGTCCGGCTTTGTGTGTCTACTACAGACTTGCTAACAACATACACTCGCTGACAAACCCCTCCTTGGCGAGCATCTTGCTTAATTTTCATTCTATCTGAATGGAACAAGTAGCAAATTCCCAAGTCTTCCTTGCTTCAGCTCCGCAGTGTCTCTGCCCAGGAGTACAGAGACTCTCTGCTGTCTGCAGCAGTGCGTGGCCATCCCAGAGGTGATCCCTGCCCAGCACTTGCTCCAAGAGCCACTTCTCTGTTATAGACCCAGCAAACCACTGCTCTGCTGCTGCCAAACTTCATGCAGCAACTTTCCATCACGACTCAGCCCTCCTTTTCTAAGTTACCCACAGGATTTAAACAGGGAAATAGCACCTGTGGGGTTACCAAAGGCCAAAACCTACTGCCCCATAGAGCTGAAAGCACCAGGGGGTAAGAAAGGGGTGTGCATGACTGTCACTCATCTGAGAGTGTCCCCAGCCCCAGGGGCACGTGCACATTTCTGATGGATGCTCCCAATGTTCCTGCTTCTCCCCGCTGGTGGCTGACAGAGCATTGCTGTCACATTTCTGCCTTGCACTCTTTTTCACTGTCTGCATTTTCCATTTCTTCCTCGCTGTAAAAACAGCAAAGCAAAAACCCATCAACTCTAACACAGAATTGGGGTTTCTTTGGTCAGCACCAAGGCTGGGATCTGGCTCGCAGGGTCCCTGCCAGGGGACATGGAAGGAGAGAGGGCAGAGGCAGGAGATATTACTGATGCTGTAGGAAGACCCACTTGGGAGGAGAAGGGCTCCTGGCTCGTTCAAAACAAATTGGCCAAGAAAACCCTGGATGGAACGGAAAGAGTCGTGTTCTACAACTTTAGCTCAGCAAATCCTTTCCCTGAAGAATCTACCGGCAATTCATTACGCTGGATTTGTAGCCAAGAAGTTCCCACTCTCCAGAGACGTCAGATCAATACAGGGAGGGGGTTTGATGTGTGCCATGAAGGTGCAGAGCTCCCTGCTGATCCACCCTGGCACACGGACCACTCGGTGCCTGTTAGCTCTGTCCCAGGGAGGGAACAGGTCTCACAGGAAGGGGCCAAAGAGGTGATGCAGCAACAGCAACGTTCAGTGCAAACGACAAGGCTTAATAAAGGATGAAAACTCCAGAGAACAGCTACATTTGGGGATGAGCCTCTGGCAGCCTATGAGAAAACCCTTGTAGTGTACTTTCGACTGAACGTCTTCCTTTTGAGGGGAAACCCAAAGAAAGCTGAGGAGCTGGTCACTACCCTTAGAAAGGAGACAAATCAGTCTTTCAAGAAGAAACCTTGAAGGTAACAAATAGGATGAAATGTTTGAATTGGGCTCCACGTGTAGTGTCTCCTGCAGGGTGATTCTGGAGGCCTATTCCAACACTGCAGAAAACCTCTTGGTGCAAAGGCTTGACTCAGCTTTGAGCTCTCAAAGGTCCAAGGGGTGAAGGGAGCCTGTTCTCAGTCTGTAGGTGTAGACAAAGAGTAATCATGAGACACTCATGGCTCAGCAGTCAGAGAAGGGACATGGGTTGGCACAAGTTGGGCACATCCGACCCCTCAGCCACAGCTGGACCATGCTGCTTATACCATTGCTCTGCTCAAAGCAGCAGCACTGACTAGAGAGTGAGAGGGAAAAAATGGGTTGAAAAATTAGAAGAAAAAGAAGGATCTAAGCACACAGTCTTGTCCAGGCAGCAAAACAACATTTTTTCTCTCCTGGCCAAAATAAATGGCTGCTGGGAGTCTCTGCTGTTCGGCTCCAGCAAGGTTGGATGGATGGATGGTTAAATTCTACTGATCTCACCTTCCTGAGACTTGATGTTTGATTCCCTCGATGTCAGACTGAGTTAGTTTGATCTGAACATTTAGAACACCAACAGTGCTTAATGTGGACCAGAAATAATATCTGACATGCTGCCCTTCTGCCAGGCTCTTAATGAGCAATTTGAGGTGTTAATAGCTTGGAGACCATCTTCACTTCCAGCTCTGCCACAGAGAATCACATGGTGGCTGCTGAGGGACCCGGAGAGAATACATTACTGCTTAATTAACATGCAGAGCAGAACAGGGCTAAAGAGCCAGCAAAGGGGCCATGCCAAACCCTTTGGAGCAGAGGCTGCTCTCCTGCCAGATGCTTGGGACCCTCAGCTGCCACCAACTCAGCAGAGTTGGGTGACTCAGCATCAGCTGGAAGAGCAAGTGCCTACAGGCTCAGGTCCAGCAAAGCCAATTCAGTGGGAGATGGGGCGATTAAAAGCTGGAAACTGATTCAGCATTCCCATTTCCAAAAACCTAAATTGGTTCTAAAAAAATAGGAGTAAAGAGAAACAGGCAAGCAGCCAACAAGTGGCCTCAGAGGAAATTAATTCCTCGTGGGCTTCGCTGGAATGCGCTTGTTTCTCTGTTATTATAAAATATATTCATTGTTCTAGCATCAAAATTAGATTTCCCCTTTAGCTTGTAATTAAACCCTAATCTAATTTGCCAGAAGATGACAGGGGCCTCGAAGCAGAGCTTACAGCCCTGCCCCTCTTTCTTTCTCCACCTCCCACCATCTGCTTTTGCAGACTTTCTTCTGTGTTCCAGGGTCTGCTCTTGATGGTGCTGTGCACCAAGAAGGGCCACACGAAAAACTTGTTGGGACTTGGTAAGACCCAGCTGGGAATGGGCTGCCTCAGTGCCCAGGGCTTCTTCCCCAAGCCCTCCTCAGAACCACAGCTAGTTTCCAACTCCCAAGAGGTCGTCTCCTCTGAGCCAGGTCCCAGTTCCCCAAACAAAACTGTTTCTGGATGAGATCTATTCTTTGTAACTGCAGCACTTCAATGCCCAGTGGTTAACTGGGCTCAGTTTGCTGGGGCATCATGGAAGAACCAGTCTCAGCAAGACTTTCATGCTCATTTCACATTCACTTCCACATCTGTGCCCAGTGGTCCTGGAACCAGGGAATGCACACCAGGTTTAGCTGGCAGCTTCTCTGCAGAGTTGTATTTCCCCTGGAAAAAACGGTCCAGGGAGGAGAACACCCCAAGGCCCTGCTAAAATCTCCCCCTCTGAGCTGCTTTCCAAGGGTGCTGCAAGACCCGGCTGCCCTTGGGACACCAGGGCTGGCTGAGAGACTGGGGAACAGTTATGGAAATATTGACCAAAGTCGAGCTGTCAATTATAATGATCTCTGGGAACAGTTTCCCACGTGGATGGACATCACACTGATCATTAGAGCTGACACAGTGTTGGTTTTCCTCCTCCAGGACTCAGGGCTAGACCAGCCCTTTGCCCACATTTGTCTGCAGAGGACAAGTGATGCTGATCCCAGACACTCCCTCCCTTCACAGGGCTTTTGTTTTACTCCCTGCTTTCCCCAGATAAAGCGCTTGGCACTTGTTTCATTTGCTTTCTGCCTGGGCTCTCAGTCTAACTTTTTTTCTCTGCCCTTTCTTTCTGCCTCAGCACATGACACTGATAACCTGTTTGCCCTGAAGGACTAATATTTCCTTCAGCCTGTATTTTGGGATCAGCACTGGATTTTGGTAGCTATGGAAACACAAAAAAGCCTTAGCAACTGATGGTGGCCAGCAAGGAAAGCAACTGGTGCTGCCATGGAAACTTGTGGCCTTAAAACAGTTTCTTGAAGGCATTTGCTCCTTCTCCCAGGGGAAGTCAAGGGGCTGCAGGAGAAGCCCCAGTGGAGGGGATCTGATGGGAAGGGCTCAGCCCTTGGTGGGACCTCACCTGGGGGGTGCTGGAGAAGCCTTCCAGCACCATGTCCTTAGTCTGGCCCGGCACCAGCTCCATCTGTGGTGGTTCCAGCTTGAACACGGGGCTGACAGGTTCGGGGATCTGGGGGGTGTCTTTGCCCTTGGTGGTACCCAGGGCACGACGCTGCTGAAGGATGCTGAACCCTTCTGTGGTCCAGAACAGTCAGTGGGTGTGTCGTCCTTCGTTTGTTATTTTCAACTGGTAACAGAAGGGAGTGAGGCTGGAAGAGAAGCAGAGATGGCATCAGCAGCACCCTGATGGAGTTCCCTGAGTGCACACTCAGTGCTAAAACCTCCACCAAAAAGGCCACTCGAGCTCAAAGCTTCAGCCAGGCCTTGGCTGCCCCGAAGTTCATCACCATCCAGCAGCTGCTCTCTGTGTGTACAGCCAGGAAAAGCTTCATTGTCATGGTTTGAGACCCCTAAAACTCTAATTTCCAAGTCCAAGCCCCCCCTCCCACAACTCACTCCAGTGTGAGAGGGGTTTTCCAGACACAACACAAGACTCAATATGGGGGGAAGGGAATTATATTACAATTATTACACAAATAAATATTATAACACATTATATACACAATCCTAACTATCTCTCCTATGATAAAGCAATATTTACATTGGATCAAATCTCTTTTCCCTCCAATAAAAGTCCAGAAGGGAAGAAGGAAAGATCTTTTCCACGTTCAGGGCAGCAGTGTCTCTCCTCTCCAATGCAGCAGTCATAGCTGGAGTTGTTGTAGCTGGATCTCTCTCTCCATTACACACAAGGGGGTCTCCTCTCACCCCTCTCGGCCCCCTGTTCTTAGAGACCATCCAACCCTCATCACTTCCCAACAGATCATCTTTTGCCTGAACGGTGTAGCTGGGTTTGTTGTTTTAGGAAGAGAAATGCACTGTGGGAACACGGGATCAACAGAAGTTTCCCCAATATGAAGATGGCAGCAAGACCAGGTCTAGCTACTGAGGGAGTGGAGTGACAGGAAGAGATGACTGGCTAACTTCAGCTAGACAGAAAACAAAATGAATGTTCAATGGAAATTGATTCCCTCATGTAAAGAAACACTAACTGCAGGCTAGTCTGGAGCCATTATTTTATTCTCAATAAATCTGAGCACGGCCAGGAAACAAATTGTTCCTGGAAAAGTTATTGGTTTTTTTGAAAGGCACAGATTACGTGGCTGGCAAAGAGCAGGTCTGCTGCCAGCAGCTCCACACAAACACAGGAGGGATGGCATGGGAGAAACTCGCTCTGAAACAGACTCTTAACAAATGACGTGTGCAAGCTTAGTATGAAAGGGTTTATGTTGGGGACAGCAACAGATGAAAGCCTGGAGAAGCTCTGGGTAGGTGCAGAATTTGTGGCTCTGGGAACACCCAACTCATTCGAGCTGTTCCCTGGGTCCCATCTCAGCTCACAGGGTGGTAGCTCTGAGCTGACAGGACCAGCAACAACCCCAAACCAGGCCTGCAGGCACAGGTGGGAAGGGGGCAGAGGATGATGACACCAGTCACACCGACATTGTCCCCTCTGTTTTGTAGCCAGTTTGTGGCTGCACAGAGCACAGGACATGTGGACTAGCACCCACCTCCCTGCAATGCCCCTGCTCGTGTGGATGGCTGGTGGGTGCATATTTAACCCCTTGAAATCCATCCTAAATGCCTCAGGTAGGATTAACCTACTCTTTCTACCTCAAAATTTGGGTATTGGGAATGCTGTGGACCCTCTTTGCAGCCAGGGAAAAGAACAGGCACATTGAGGAGACTATTATTCCCGTCCCAAGAGCTCTCCAGCACAAGGCAAACAGCACTTTGAAAAGGCTTCTTTTTCTCCTCTTTACAAGAATGTGTCTGGTTTCAGACAAAGCCATTAGGATGAGTGAAGCCCCTCCTGCAAGCTCAGCTCTATGAATTCACACTCCCAGGGTATCCCACCCAACCTCCCTCACTGGACTTTTCCTGTCCCTTTTGGAGCTGGTCCTGCAGCCACCTCTGCTCATCTGTGCCTCAGGCTTCTGCTGTGGAGGAGACAAGGGAGCAGGCAGAACAAACGAGGGAAGAGCCACTGTGTCTAATAAAGCACAGCCCTGCAGGGGAGCTGGGGGAAGAACAATTGGAGGGGTATCACAGGGCAGAGAAATTCTGCTGCTCCTCCCGGATTCCCGGGCAGAGGGGAAATAAACCCACACCATTTGTTTAGTCGAGGAGCTGCCAGGAAGCCACTGCCAAGGTTTTTGCGCTGTTGTGAGATGATGCTCCATAGGGAACGGAAAAGCAAGCAACGTTATTGCAGAGAGAAATATGTTTATACTGGTAATGTAGCGTTTTCCAGCCAGAGGCTGCTGGGACCTGCTGTTTTCTTCCAAATCGTTACTTGATAAAGTGAGGAAATAAACGCGTCAGAACCAAAGACAATTCAGCGACAATTTAGCTACTGGCTTCCATTTTGGTGGCTTTTGAGGGTATCTAAAAAACTCTCAACTGGCCAGCACATGTTTCTAAAGGAATCAGAGCTGGGACCCTGTGCACTGAAGAAGATCCAGCCTGAAGGACTACGGCAAAACTGCTCCTTGCTGAGCCCACGGGAGAAGCGGGAGCCGAGAGAGATCCTACCTGAAGTGGGGGCCAAAGTTGAGCTCCTGAGGGAATGGTTTGTCAGTGACAGTTGTGGTGCCAATGCCCACAGCCTGCACGGGGATGATGTTCACTGGGCTGTTCTCAATGAACAGCTTCACCTTGTCCTCAGATTTCCCCGTGTCATCGAGGTTTGCTGTGACAGTCACAGACACCTCGCTCTCGGGGGGGATCACTCCCTTACTGGGTTCAGCCCTCCAGCGTGAGCACGAGCCAGCCTGTAAGACAAACCAAGCACCAACTTAGGATGGAAACCACGGACCCTGGTCTGCTGTGGGGTGCAGGAAGTGGAAGGACTAAAGAGAAGAGGGTAAAAACCATAAAGGTTTAATTTCCTTAAATCTAAGTGTCTGGCAACAGCAACTCTCCAAGAGCTTATATGACCTGTATTTTACCCTCCTTTAACAGATTCACTTCATTATCCCAGTACTGCTCAACCCAAGGGATGTTCCTCCTCAGGAGAAGGTTATTCCCCCTCCAGTCTCTCTTTGGAGTCCATGCCAAGGGAAGCTACTTTCCTGGCTTCCTGACAACAGAGCTGGGTTGGCACAGAGGCTCAAGGCCAGAGGAAGCCAGGACTGCTCCAATCCCTCCTCCCAAGCCTGTTTTCAAGCCTCTCATAGATCCCCCCTCCAGCAAGATCAGACTAATGCTCTACTCACCACTTTATTCAAATTAAGGGATCAATTTTTCACCTGACTACAATGACATAAACGCAGAGGAAATCTGTTGACTTGAACAGAATGAACAGCATGTGCCCAGTTCCAGAGCTGTGTCAGCTTTACAGCAGGAAGCTGAGGGCAAAGTGTGGCCCAGCAGGTGCTGGGCAGTTCATGGCTGCAGAGTGTTTTCTGTCCCCACTGGAGATCCCCACAGGGAATACAACTCATTCTGCTCCCCAGGAGAGGAGAAATGAGACAGGGAGGAAAAGCAAACTGATTTATACAATGACATCCCTCCCTCCAACAGCCACCTTCTGTCCTCATCCTTCCTCTGCTGCTTTCCATCAGAGAAATTCCTCTCAAAAACACACAAATGGCTTCTGTACTTGACCATATGGTACATGATTTCAGCTTATGACTTTGGAAACAAAACTGTGCTCCTTCAGGAACATCCCGAGCAACCCAGCTAAAAGAGGCCTCACACCAGTGCAGATCTCTTACTCTGACAATACTCAAAGCTGGCAGTGCCAAAGCCCTCCCACACATCAGTGAAGCTTCAGCCTCACCTGCTGAAGCTGTATGGCTGGACCCTTCCCATACCTGGATATCCTGGAATGCCTGGGAGCAGATGGTCCCTCTGCAGGGCGTTATGGTAAATTCCATTGGCTCCGTGAGACCCTGAGCTCCCTTTCTCCAGGATGGGTGGGTGTTGCTGGATGTCTGATCCGAGCTGGTGAGGCTGGGCTGTCCAGAGCCGTCCTCAGGAATGCGGAGGGTGAAGGCCATGGGCATCAGGGAGGTGTTGGTCAGGCGGCAGGACAAGGTGCGAGGAAAGCCTGGAAAATGACACAAGTATCCAGGAGGCACCAATCACCTCGTGATTCCTGCTGTGAATGTCCCGGGAGGATAAAACTGTGCTTGGAGTTTGGCTCTTTGTTATCTGAACTACAGCTCATTGAGCAGCTCAGCCAGGAATTAATGGTCACTTAGTTCCCTTTGATGCTGCTCCCAGATTGCTGCCTTGGAAATGCCCACTCAGCCCTGCTGAACACCACAAGTGTTTCTAACAGGGAGGAGGAGCTCTCTCCCCTGCCCCAAACCAGCACCACTTATTTCTCACTGATGAGTGTGCACCCAAACTGAAGATTTACTCTCAAAATTCAGGCTGTAAAACTCCTGTTAACTCTGCCTACACTCCCACTGTTTTCAAGGTATAAAAGCAGTGAGTTGTCATCGAGGAGAAGCTACAGTAAAACAAAGGAAGGATGGAATTGGGAACTAGAACATGATCCAAAGCACCCTAAGGCAGTTTCTCTAGGCAGGATCCTTAAGGCACCTCCTGGTCTGGGGCAACTCGACCAAGCATGTGACAACTCACAGCCCACTTCACTGGAGGCAAACCCCAGGCTTGCTTTGAGATCAGGAACTACCTCTCACCAAACAAACAGGGACATAACAGAAAGCCAGGGATACAGCCACACCTGGTGGGGATGTCCTGCAGAGCCAGGACACCAGCCCACAACCTGCTCTGCACTGGACATCTGTCTTGGCTGGCCAGCTCTGTGGGGAGGAGACATCTCCCAGGGCCTGCTTACCAAGCGTCCTTTGAACCCAGAGGGGGAGGAAAAACCAACTGTAGGCACAGCCAAGAGCTTCTCTGTGCCCATCAACAGTGACCACTGCCCAGCTCCAGCACTGACTCCAGCAGGGAGGCAGGAGGGGCACAAAAAGGACCAACACAGATGTCACAATCCCAAATGAGACCGAGGTCACCAGATGCAGAGAACAGTCAGCAGCACAGTTAAAAGAAGCAAAGATACAACAGCTGCCTTCAGCTGAAGAGGCCTTGGGAATTAAATCAGATTAAGCAGAATGAATCTCCTATTACAGAACTATATTCCTACCTGGTGTCTTTCTTGTTGTTTCATTTATTGAAAAGGAAACTAAGAAGTGGCTCAGTGGTGATGCAGGGAGGGGAGGAAGCAGCGCAGGAAAAGTAATGAGTTTTCTTAAAAAGCCCATGAACAGCATGAAAACACAGAGGCATCCTGGTTGCAGAATGATAATGGCCCTTCAATCAATCCACAATTGATTTCACATTTAAGCTGTAGATCATCTCGGTAAAAAGCCTTTTGTGAGCCTGAGATGGAGAACTGGAATCTGCATTTCAATGGTGACGCTCTGGATGCTCAGCCCCGGCTCTGTCAGCAGAGCTGCATGTTTGGTGGGGAAGAAGAAGCCCGTGGCTCTGAAGACCTGGTTGGGGATAACGAAGCGCCCTCACAGCACTAATTAACACCCCACACTAAAGGTCAGAAGGGTAAATGGGGTCCTTGCATGTGCCCAGAGCAGCTACAGGCTGGTACATGGCTTAACCTCCCTCCTCTTGCAGTCCCATCCCCTGGGCCCTCCTGGGACAAGGACTTTCACAGCTGTTCTGCTGTCAAGGATTGGGAGATTGTAGCAGAACAGACTATGAGGGACACCAGAAAACACTGACCTTCTATTCCTTTGGTCCTACTTGACCTCATGATGGGAAAACGCTGCCTGAGCCACCAGCAGCCCTGGAGTCAACACCCTGAAGAGGCTCCTGTGAAAGGACACGAGTGATGGATGTTCTTACGTTCAAGTGCTCCATTTTGACAACACACAGACCTCTCACACTGTGATCTAAACCCTGGGCACACTCACCAAAGGAGGTGTCACCAAGGGGGAGGGCAGGTACATCAAAATGCAAAGTTGGTCCAATGACACAGCCCCTGCGAGGACAAAGGCAGAGGAGGCAGTGGCTGGGTTAAAGGGAATTGCAAAGGGTTTGGCTGTAGTTACAGCTCAGGTGGGTAAAAGCTGCTGTCAGAGCCACTCTGGGTTTTAAATCAACCCACCACCCTGAGCTCAGCACGGCATCCACACGGACAGGAGGCAGCCAAAGCACTGGGCAGCAGCCAACAGCTGCTGATGGGGCTTAGGGCACCCCAGCAGGCAGGACATGCCCCATGAAGGACCCTGTACATGCACAGATGGCTCTGTGCCTCAGTTTCCCCATCTGTGAGATGATGGACACAGAGGTGTCCCCACAAAAGTGGACTCACTGTAACCAGCTTTCCCAGCCACGGGGTCCCTGCTTGGCTATTTCTTAGCTGGGACTGGTGTTTCCATGGAGGATCTTTTCCCAGGATATCTTGACCCGTGCAATCATTACAGGCAGGATTTTGAGGCATGAATCCAGGGCAGCCCCAGCCATCCACTGGGAAGAGCAGCAAGAGTTCTACACAGTGCACAGATGAATCTCAGAGGAAAGGACCAGCTTGTCACCAGTGCACCAGCTGACACAGCCAAGAGCAGTAGCTTAAAAAAACTGAACATGGGTGTCCTGAATCCACCACACACCCATTCTTAAATTCAGCACACAGGCTCCAAACTCCAAAAGTCACTAACATCACTGATATCAGCGCTTGAAGCTGCACAAAACTCACAGGTTTCTCTCATGGTTGATGCCAATCAATGCCTACTCTGCCTTTTGGTTAAAAATCAAGGGCCACAGTGAACTGTGCCTCCTGTTTTACTCACAGGACTGCCACTGGCTCTGCTCTACACATCTCGTCAAGCGAAACCTGCCCTTGCTCAAGGAGAAAGCTGCTTATGCAACAACATCCCGTGACCAGTTTGGGGGAGGGACAGAGTAGAATAAATTATTCGATTGTGAAATGTTCCCTCTTCATTTCCAAAAAAAAAAATAAAAAAGGCAGTGCTTTTCCTCCAAACACAAAGCCAGCATAATCGTTTCTCTACTGAGGTCAGACCTACTTACTACTCTTCTCTTGCAAAGTAATAACCTTCTTGTTCTTTTTTATCCATTTCCCTTATCTCGTTGGTAAAATCGACTGCAGATTTCTTTCATTTCTTTACTGCCTTGATCCAATGGCCCAGCCACAGCCAGCTCCAGAGCTCCAGAACCCAGCATCAGCTTTCCTGCCTGCACCACATTATCCCACCAGCCCATGGCTCAGACCAGCTGGGACAAGCCCTCATGCTGCTGTGGTGCTGAGAAGTGAGCTTTGCCTCTCCCATCATCACCTTTTTTGTCCCCCCTTCTCTCCTTTGCTGGGTGAGGATTACCTTTTGCAGCTGCACCAGCCCATGGGATGATGCCCAAGCCCTTGTGACAGTCCCTGCTGCAGAGCTCCCCATCTCCTGCATCTGCCCTTTCCTGGCTGTGGAAAGGAGGCACCAGAGCACTCCCTGCACAAGAGCTGGGAGCACAGCCTGTGCCCACACATGGGCATGAGAGATGTGAGGCTGCTGCTGCCCATTTGGGAGGGATTATTAACAGGATTTTAAAAGCAGAATCACCCGGGCTGGCCCATCTCCAAAGCCCTGGGGGCTTTGCTGGGTGTTCAGGTGGGACATCCCAGACCAGCTACTGCCCAAAGCTGATGCCATCCCACTGCCTGCCATGGCCCAAGGGGGAGAGACATCCCTGCAGGAAGGAGTCACTCCAGCTCCTGGTACCTGCACTGGGCAGAAGGCACCTCCACACTGAGGGGCTGCCAGCATCAGAGCCAAGACTGAGACCTCAGGCAACACCTTTGCTCTCTGCTCCACCACCAAATGAGGCAGGTGGGAGATGATTACCCAGAGACAGCTACAGATGTGCCCACCAAGCTCCCAGAGCCCTCCTCACCTGATAGTCAAGGTCACAGGCTTGGGGGCTTGAGGGACACAGAACTGGAATTCTTCCTTGAACTCCCCTGGGATGGTGGTACGGAAGGAGATGCTGATGGCCTGGAGCCCATCTGGTGGAATGATGCCCAGCTGGGGCAGAAAAGTGGAGCAGGAGCCCACAGATGTAGTTGGAGGGATGAGGCTGAAGGGATGGAGCCTCAATAGGGCCTTTGTTAAATAGGATCTCACAACCATTCACAGCCATCATTTACAAATTGACCATTATTTAGAAAAAAAAAGCAAATTTGGGGCCAAGCTCTATTTTGTTGAACACTCAAGAGACCTACTGCCTCCAAAAAGTGCCCCCATCTTCCAGGAGCACCAGCCTGCAGTCAGGCACCAACAAACCCACCCACAGCAAAGCTGTCACTGTCCTGACTTCTGTAGGGGGAAACCCTGCCATTGCCATGGACTTATCCATCTGCTTTGGGATTCCTTTCCCTAATTATTGACCTTGCAAAACCTGTCAATTAAGACAATTAAGGCAGAAGCAGAGGGCTGTCCCTCATTTCCTAACTTTGCAGCTGCTGTTGAAAACATTCCTGTATTCAGCATCTGCCATGAAAGTTGAAAACTGCTCTCTCCTCTCCTGTGTTTTACACTTTCATTACAAATTGCACTTGGGGATCCTCTGTGCCACAGAGGTTTACCTGCAGTCTAGCTGCTCAGCACAGCACTGACTGTATCATCTACTCATCCACCTTTCCTCATGTAATGAAAAGAATAAATTGATATAAAACAATAAGGTTTTATATGCATAGAGAGCACAAGCTTTTGGTAAGAAAACAACTCAGTGCGTCCTTCCCTGCCACAGCCAAGCTTTTGAAAGTGTCTGGAATGATGTAGTGCCTCATTTTCTACCCCTTTCAGTTGCTCTCTCTACTTTTTTTGCAGACTTGACACCACTGGGGTGGAGGCAAACAGGTAGAAAATTGCTTTGCTTCTTTCCCAGAAATGCTTTGCTCTTTCTAGAGCCGGAGATGCACCAAGGCTGAAGGGTGGTGAGGGACTGGTCAGCAAGGGAAAGCACTCCCAAGCCCTTTGTGAGGGCCAGTGCTGAGCCAGGAGGCTGGACAGCTTTCCCCTGACTCCCAGGAATAGGCAGGAGGCACCCGACTGAAAACTGTTTGCAATGGACTGGAGCTCAAACGCAGCCAGTTTGTTCCAGCTGCTTTTGAACAGCCTGAGCACAAAGGTGCCTCGAGTCTGGGGCTGGAACAGAAGCCTCTGAACACTCAGCTTTTTGACCCAGTGTTGCTTTCACGTGCCAAGGGGTTGGTTTTGCAGGAAGCCTCCCAGCTGCTCTCCAAGGGCAGTTGCAAAAAGCAGGGATGAGGGTTTCGGGAACAACAGACACACCTTTCAGATCCCATCAAAAGGATGCAGATTCTGTGAAACGCCCCAAATTTGACTGGTATCACAACTGCCTGAGTTGCCAGAAATTCTGCAGGTCCACCAGGCTCACTGCTGCCCCAGGAGCCATCAGGATCCCCCCTAACCCCTGCTGCTCACCTTGTATCTGTGGAGTGATATGACAGAAACCTTCCCAGTGTCCAGTTCCTCAGACTTGAAGTGGAGCTGGGGCCTGAGGTGCAGGAGCAGCCTGGTCTCAAGCCTGGGAAGAGATTTCTGTATCAGTACAATAATTCTCAGTTACCCTGCATTTTCCAGGCTGCCTCAATGCTAGTCTGAGGTGCATGGGACCAGGTCCTGATGCTCCAGCAGAAGATATGGGACCCTTCTCTTGCCTCAGGAGATATACCGTGGGGCTGGCTTCCAATTTCTAACCCACCCCTTGGGCTGGTTTCCAATTTAACCACCAGTTTTAACTCTGGGAAAGCAATGCCAAGTTTCAAACATGATCTTTGATTTCCTTCCCATGCACTTAGAGGAGCTGGAGGCACAAAGCTCACAAAGAGCATCACTGCCTGGCTTGCAGATAAATCAGGGTGTAGGTGGCCCAACAGCACAGGACTTGTTGCCAAAGTCCTCAACTTCTGGTGCTTTCTGTCACTCACATCTTGTACACAGAATGTCCCCTTGTTTTGTGACTGGCCTTGAACATGATTCTCATCTGAGCCGTCAACAGAGATCCACAGTTTCTCATGAGGTAAAGGAAGGATCATCATTTGGGATTTTTGAGTAACTAAGAAAGTTCATTTTGACCTTCAATATTTGCCCAGAGCAAATTTCCAAGCGCTCCTCCACCGCTGGCTTTCCCAGTTGCCCAGAGCTGGGCAGTTTTGTGAATCACCCCATCCAGAAGCATCTGCCAAGCAATATCTGGAGGCACCTGCAGTACAGGTGGAGGCCAGCAAAGCCCCTTTTCAGTGGGGCAGGAGATCCAACTGCACAATTCACAGTCCTGCACGGGGAAAAACCTTCCGGATATCCCCAGCAAGGGGCACACACTGTCTGCAAATCCTCATCCCAGGGGATTTGGGACTGGCAGGCAAATGCCTGAGGAAAGCAGTCACACTTCTTGCAGGGATCAAGAAGCAAAATCAAATGACTTCCCAGTTAAAGATGGCTGTTTTCTTCCTTCGATTCTTTTTGCACCCAGGGACTGACTCTGGGACAATTCCCTCCCTGACAATCCAGTGGTTCAGCTCTGGTCTGTAAGGAGTGAAGGGGAGAAGTGCATGATTTAAATGACCTCTCTGAGATCCTCTTCCAAGGGGCCAGTGGAAGAGTTAAGCTCTCCCTTGGGCCCATCAGGGTCGTTCAGGAGCAGGCTCCTCTTTCTCAACACACATCATTTGCCCGGCTCTGGTTCCTCTAACTCCCAGACCAGCCCAAGGCTTGCATGCAAGTAGTTTTCCTATTTCTCTGCCATGAAAAATCTCTCCTGGCACAGCCCCTGGAGGTCCCTGCAGCAAAGTGCTGGACACCCCCATCACCAGAGCCAAAATCCCAGAGCCAGGAGCACAGCCCTGAGTGAGGAATCCCTCGGGAGCAACTTTTTAAATCCATCCTTTCCTTCCACAGCTCTAACAACTGCAGCTGGTGGGCAGGAAGACAGTTTGTTAGCACAAGCCCTGAGTAATTACTGTAGATGGCATTTGCAGAGTAAACCCTGCACAATTACTGTCCAAATAAAAAGCTGTTTCTTGACATTTGTATCCGTCACTTGGAGAGGGAAGGAAAGCAACAGAGCTGCAGGGTCAGGGATTGCAGCACCCGCCGGGATGGGAGCCTGGCTGCTGGAGGACCACAGGCCTTACACCTCTTCCTCTTAGATGGGCAAAACCAGAATGTTCCCTGGGTGGAAACAGTCACAGCCATCTCCCACTCCTGAAGAACACCATAAGCAGCACCATGCAGAGACAGAGAGGAAGGACAGGGGAACCTGTGGTGGTGTCACTGGGATGGGTCAGTGGAAACTGTGCCCAGAGAAGGACCTGACAGCACTTCCGGAAGACAGGACGAGCGTAAAGCTTGTCCAGCAGCCTGCTCAGACTGGTTTGCAGGGAGGATGCTCTCCCTGCTGAGCACAGAGAGCCCGGTGCAGCACCACCCACCAGCACCACGGACTGAGAGCCACGGGGTGACAATTCCCACGCAGCTGCTGTCCAGGGGTGTTCCTTCTGCAGACAGCCTGGGCTCAGCAGGGCTCAGCCACCTCCAGTCTGGTGTTGTCTGGGCAGTGGGAGGTGATCCAGGATCAGGGAGCACATTTCTAACTCAGCTCCTACCGCCTGATGATGGATCCACATAAAAAGGACCCATCCTGGGGGTTGGTGGTCTAATGCTCGTTTATTAAAGCTGTTCTGCTCTGTAGCTCTTTGGCCTTTGAGGAAATGCTGGCAAAGTCATGGCACGAAAGCTTATCCCTACACTGCTTGGATTGTTCTGGAATCAGTGATCCAGAGCCATCCCTCTCTGCAAGGTGCATCCATTCCTGGTTCCCTGAGCACAGGCTCCCACAAGGAGACGTGGGATTTGCTTACAGCTCCACAACAATCTCAACCAGCAAGTTCTTCTTGTCATGCTCTTGCCCAGGGATTTAAGCCTGGGCCAGGCTACCAGTGTGTCTGCAACTCTCTGCTGCTTCCTCAGGGTCTTCTCTCTCTGCTTCTCTCCCAAAGAGTCCTGGCACTGATGCTCAGTCCCAGGAAGCCTTGTCACACAGTTTTGGAGGATCTCACATCTTGTAACTGGTTTAAACAAAGGCACTACTTACAGCCCCTCAAACCCCAGCATTACAACTGTTTCTTGATGCATTTGTTGACATAAATACATGGACCTCTGACAAGTGTAATAACACTCCACAAGGAATGACAAATTTAGCTTACAGAAGGGGAGAAAAAGACCAGAGTTATTTTTTCTATCAACAAAGTAAGGCTTTGATTCTGCCCGTGGCTGCACATCCTCACTAGTCTGTCCAGAAAGTCTTGAACTGACTGCAGCCTCCAGCTCTCCTGCAGCATAAGTATTAAATAACTATAATATTGCCCATTGACGTGGCACTTAAAACTCAAAGGACAGCCCTCCCCAAAAATTAAAGAGCTGTGACATGGTAAGTTACTGGGCTGCAGCTGCAAACAATTCCCTAATGCACAGCCTGCTTGGAGTCAACAGAACAGAGGGGACAACAGGGAGAAAAAAACCTGTTTCAAATGCCCACAAACCAATAATAAGAAAAGGAAACTCTGAAAGAATTAATTCACCCCGATGCAAACACACCAGAGCAAACACACTTGCCAGATCAGGTGTTTCTACCCAGCAAGCAACTGGATGAAGGTGAAGCCTCACTGTACCACAACACACTTGAGGAACATCAGCTGGCAACCCACAGACAGCAGGTGAGACATCAGACCTCCCCGGGCCCCATCGGGATGCTGCATGGACTCACCAGCACCCGAGATCGATCTGGGATTTGCAGGAATAAAAGCATGTGGGGTGTCAGAACAACACCAGCTCTGCTCTGACACCTGGAGTTTGCCCAAGCAGAGCACCGAGAAGAAACACTCGGGTGATTGATTTCCCCGGCTTGGACTAATTAGAGCCTAATAACCCACCAGTGCTCATCACCCAGCTGCCCGCTGTGTGTTTACCAGCCCGAGTTCAGCGCTCTCACCCCGGGCAGAGCCTCCCCGGGGAGGGGGGGATGCACCAGGCAGCTGCTTTGCCTTTGCTTGGAGCCCAGCAGCTGGAACTGAGCACACACCTCGGCTCCCCGGTGCTCTGAGCTTCTCCTTAAAGCTGCTGCGTGGGCTCAGCTGCCCAGCGGCACCGTTTGGTCCTTCAATGGCTCTGCCCCGAGAGCTGCACCCAGCCCTTGCCCTCGTTTGGTTCCCGCACAGCAAACGGTGCCTTGCCGGGCTTTACCAGCACCATCAGCCACACAAACAATCCCTGCTGGTGGGCTGGGAAAAGGCATTAGCGAAATGTCAAGAGCAGTGATGATGCTCGAGGTTTTCATCTTCTAGAGGGGCATAAAGCAGGGGGGGGAGAGCACATCCTGAGCCTTAAAACCAAAACACAGGGCGGGAAGTAAAAGGGAGGGGAGTTTAGCAACAAGTGGGAGTGAAGTGAGCTGCAATGTCAGAATGGCCACCCACATCACTCCACAGGGAAGTCTCCATTTGCTCCTTAGAGACTCACGTGCCAGACAGAAAACCAGGGAGGAGGTGTTTGAATGCAACAGGGCAGGAGCAGCGACGCTGAGGGTGCAAACTGATGCCACGTTTCACTGTAGTTCCATCATCAGGCTTATGAGGGCTGTGCACAGCCAGGTTACCAGGGACAGGCACCTCAGGGTTTGTGCTGGCTGTCAGACAGTGCCCACCATAAACTGAGTCCCAGTTTTCTGGGACTGTCCTATTTCTTGCAAGACTTGGGAATCTTGGCGTAAAATCTGACTCTGCTTTTTCAGATTTTACCTCACATTGTTTCAGATTTTAGCACAACACTGGCTGCTCTGAAGCCGAGTTCAAACAAACAAGAACAAGGTCTCAGAGCCAGATCACTCCTGGGAAACTCAGAGAGCATCCTTCCTTCCACTGAGGCCAGAAAACAAACTTCTGGAAGCCCAAAGCAGCACTCTCAGTTTTTCAGGTCAACCACCTCACAAAGTGCTGTTAGGCTGCTCCCTCCTGCAGGATTGCAAGCTGATGGTACTCACTGGTCTATTTTATTGCTGCCATCAGATCTATTGGCCCTGTGGACACTTTGGGGCAGTTTGGCTGTTACTCAGAGGCTGACAGAGGCAATACATCTCCTGCAAATGGGAGCAAGTGTAATACAATTCATAAGCAAAAACGAAGCTAAGCAGGAAAGGAAGAAAATTAAAAAGAACCGTTGGCCTGATGAATATGCATCTGCTAAACAACAGTGCTCTGTTCTAGCTGAGCGAGTTTAGCTGACTTTGGGATTTGATGAACGGCAAGGCCAGCACATCTGTGACAGAAATATAACCAACACAGAGATCCTACCCCACTGGTTTGGAGCACAGTAACAGCAATACATCACAGAGACAGGGATAGGGAGAGACTTGACAGGGCAGGAGACCTGGGAAGGTGGTGCAGGGCCAGAAGGCACGGACAGGAGTGGGAGATCAGAAGCAGCCCACGCTTGATGCCTGTGACAGCTCTGTCTTTGTGTGAGCTGTGCCCACCCCAGCTGTCCTGCTCTGGTCGCTGTCAGCTGAGCTGTGGGTGAAAGGACTAGGATGGCAAACTTTACCTGTTCCCCCACTAAGCTCTGGCAGCCAGACACACCAATCCCCTGCACACCTGAGCCCCCCAACGCGACTCACAGCAACAATCCTGACTGCAGTGGTGAATACTGGAGCCCTGCACTCATATCCTTGCTCCCAAGAAAACCAGTTAAAAGACTCGAGTCTCTTGAACCCCTGAGATGAAGTCATCCCTCTACAGGATTCAATGTGTTTGGATGGAAACTTTTGGCAGTACATCCACAGAGAGCTTCCCTGTACTGTCAGGGACACTGTCAGCCAGGGGTTTGACTTCAAAGGTGGATGGCAGGAAGAAATCATCAGTTACACTTTAGTCTACTATTCTGTGGCTAAAACAACTCTTTAAAGGCATAACTAACTATTCTGGGAAACATTTGCCATTTCTCCCTTTATTACTGTGGCGTGTCAGACTATAAAAGTGGAAGATGTGAGATATTTCTCCTGGGAAATTAAAATAGGCTTTTGAAGCCTGCTACCCCACAGGGGAAAAAGAACTGCTGGTCCAAAGGATATGCCTCATTACCCACCCTTGCAGGCTATTCCTACATGTGGATAAGCCTCGGGACACCTCAGGAGCCAGTGGTCTGCCTGGGCTAACACCTTCTCTATAGGATGGGCACTGAGTCAGAGCACAGAAAACTACCACAGGTGCTAAGCAGGACAGGAATAAAAGCTGTGAACATGACACTGCACCACTTCTGGCACAATGTCAGCCCCTGCCAGGCTGCCACAGGCAGGTGGCATGAAACACAGACAGTTGGATATATGATGAGACAGCACAAAGTCTCCAGCTGTTGTAGCCTGGCTTTGCTTACAGCATCCAGCAACATGATACAGGAGGGGTTGGCTCACCGTGACTCACAGCTACAGCAGGGATCTCTGTGCAACCACAAATCCACGTGGATCCTGTTTCCCTGCCCTCAGCCCCCAAAGGATGAGAATCTGCTGGATCTCCACCAGGTTGGATAAGAAAAAGCTGGTCTTGAAAAGCTGGCTACCACCAGTGTTTGGCCAAATGGCCTCTTTAGTTTGGCAGAGGGGGAAGGCAATCCATGGAAAGGAGATCACTGCTCAGAGCAGACAGAAAAACAAAGACAGAGCTGGCAACAGAGGCAGTGAAATGACACCCAAAGTGCAGCTTGTTAGTGCAGGGCACTCAGGAGAGAGGCAGTGCCAAAGCTAACATCTGCCTCTTTCCATAAATAACTGAACCCACCACGAGCTGAGGGATGGACCAGAGCTCCCACTGGACATGGTGCCTTCTGCCAAACACCGAAGTGCTTGGCAGTAACCTCTGCTTTGGATGGGCACCAGTGTCCCCAGCTGAGGTGGAGATCTGCAGGAACAAACAACGCCCTTCACCTCCTGGCCCAACCCTGGGACCGACACCAGCAGCAGATCCATAACTCTGCCATCCTGAAGACTCCATCGGCTCAGAGTTAACTCATGGCGCTGGGGAGTCATGACCAGGCAATGACAGGGCGCTGATGACTCGTCAAGGGCAGTGCAATGGTAACAAATCCTCGTCCTCCCCTTCCTCTGGTTTCCATTTCCAAGGAGTCAGCTCCCACGTGTCTGCAGTGTGACCTACAGCTGAGCTGAGGTGGGGAGGATGCAGCAAAAAGCAAGGACTTTCTCCTTTGGTAGCCACCTGGGCTTCTAGCACAGCTGCTTCTGCTGACCCATCATGTGTGTTTGCAAAAATAAAACACAATTCGAGATGTGCTCGGCAAGTCAGAGTTGCATAACAGTTTGTTTCCCACAGGCTTGGATGGATGCTCAAAATGTTCATGGTCACATGGTGATTCCAAAAATCCCTGCCTCCTCTTTTCGTTAGGATTTTCACCAGTGAGTTAACCCTACAGAGACTACAGTGACCTGCTGGAGCTTCTAAAGACAGCAACACCTGAAAATACTGGCAGCTACTGGCCCACTTAAACAGCAAAGCTTCTGCACAAGCCCTGCAAAGCCACTCTGCCCAGAAAGCCTTTCCAAGACTGCTATCCCTCCACCAGCTTCCTAACTTCTGGAAGGCACCATTTCCTCCAGTCACTTGTCACAAGGCTTGGATTATTTCTGGAGGGTGCTCCCAGCCATTCCATCCTGGGTGATGGGTGGGAGGAGGAGAGCAGTCACTGTTGGCCAGAAGGTCAGAGGCAGAGGGGTCCCAGCTTTTTGGGGGCCTCTCCAGCAGATGTGCATGGCAGTGCAAGAAGGGGTCTGACCAAGCTGTCACCACAGAGAAGGTTGTAGAAGTCAGTGGATTTTTAGATTCTATATTTGATAAAGAAGAGAAAATATTATCATTTAGTATAAAGACACCATTTAGTGTAAAGAGCGGGGGGGAGACAGACAGGAGCAAAATTCCAAATGTGAAAAACCAACTGTTCCATAAATAAAGGAAATCAAAAGATTGATAATGCTGGACAAAACAGAAGGGGAGAGACCCCTCTAACAGCCCACTTATATTCAGTCCTAGAGCAAACTGTGTAACATTGAAACAGCCATTTAAGAAAGGTTTCCACTCAAAACTTGAGGTCAGGCCATGCTTTATGTCTGTCCATCGTTACATGGAGTACCAGGACTGCAGTGTGGGCAGCCAGACTTCTGGAGCTCACCTCAGTGCACTTCAGGAGCTCAGGAGCAGGTTAAGCTGGTTGTGGAGACATAGCCCTGCTGTAATGAAACAGGAGCCTGGGGAAACTCTCTGCAGGGCAGCAATGCTTTGTGCAACAAGCTCTCCAGCCTCACAAGAAAGCCAATGTCTTCCCTCTCAGCACATCAAGCCAGCTGAGGTGGGGATCTGCCAAGTGACCTCATGTAGGGGAGGAGGAGAAGGAAGAGGAAGGGAGGTTCTCAGCTATCAGCTATCTCAGATATCACCACAGGTTTAATAGTGAAAATGTCATCAAAGAACAGCATGGGATCTCCTTGCACCTTTGTCCTCTCGTTCTGGAAGATGTGGGAGAGCAGGGAAAGGCGTTCTCCACGAGTGGTGTCCACTCCACTCCAGAAAATTATCCGCCTGGGCATTTTCCTGCAGGCACAGCCTGTGGCAGAACCTGCAGCCACGGGGAGAGACAAACCCAGCAGATCCTTTAACAGGCCACATATTTGCAGAGATAAGTGTAAGTGCAGCAGCAAAGCACTTGGGGAGGAGCAGCAGCAGCTCCTCAGCCAGGGGCTGACCCCGAGCTGCAGAGTTCCGTGTGGATCAGAGGATCCCTTGTTGTTTGTTGGCACAGCAGGTGGTTTTACTCCACCCAGGAGAGGTTTTGAAGGCCAGGAACCCTTCAGAGAACCTCATGGCTCAAAGCCACTGAGGGAGTATCCACCAGCCACCTCAGCTGGCTTTTCTTACCACAGAGCTCCTCAGGGGAGGTAGATAAAGATCAAGGAGCACCCACTGCGGGGCTTCCCTGGGAAGGGAAGAAGAAGCTGGGTTTCATCTGCAGGTTACCAGGATCACTCTTTGCTTCTTCCCTTTTGGACCTGCAGGGATAAGCAGACTCCAGCTGCCCTGTTCCCTACACTGCCTTCCACCAGAGCATCCCAGAGCTCTCCTTTACTTGGTAGCTGCAGCAGGAATCATTCTAGTGTTTAAAGATCACAAGAGAGAAGCCCAAAAGATGAGAAGGGAGCACTGCTCCAGAGTAGTTGCTGTCTAGCTGGCAGGTCACTGTGCCCCCTTCACGCTCCAGTCCCCTGCCAAGAAGAACCAGCAGGTGACAACCAGGGGGACAAGTGGAACCTCCATATGGAGCAAATCGAGGCAGCGTAGAATAAGCAGGTCAGAGATCATCACCCAGCCAACTTCAGACACAATTAGAAAGGAGATACAGTCGTGGACATCACCAGCTGCACACAGACAGAGCCTCGGGCGGACGCTGTCACCAGCACCAAAAATACTCTCCTTGGCTGGTTCCCTGTGGAGCACAATTGGAAATGTTTCTCCATGGCTGACCTGCAGTGCCGGGCATGGGGAGGCTTCCAGCCACTGGGATGGGCAACCCTGCACTCAACCTCCATCAACAGACAATAATTCCACCGTGGCATCCCAGAAAGTCCTGTGGGAGGGAGGCAGAGCCAGCTCCTGGATAGGCCTGTTCATGATCCCAGGCTTTGAGTCCCATCCCAGAGCAGGGTCCTGCACTGCCTGCCCCCTCTCATGAAAAAGTCCTCTCAGCTCTGAGATCTCAAAAGCTTCTCTGACAGCAGGACAGCAGCCTTGGAGCTACGACCACCCCTAAGATTGCAAGTAAGGAAGAACAAAACCTCCTGGTCAAAGTCGAGGGCACAAACTGACATGAAAGCAAACATAATTGGAAAAAAAGTTAACTGTGGGGAAACCTGGTTGCCTAGGAGGGGAAAGAGGATCACTCAGGGTCCAGGCTGAGACAGGCAGGTGGGAAGAAATGGGAAAGGAATGGTCCAGAGAAGTACCCAGAGAAGGTCATGAGATTTTCTTTTAACACACTGAGCTTGCATGGAAGTCAGACACTGTGTAATTAAATAGAGAACAGTGGAAAACTAGTTTTGGCCTGCAAGGCATTTCTGACCTAATTACGTTGAACTTTATTTGCTCAGAAGCCCTTAAAAAGTGCTGCAGTTTGAGGCAGTTTCCTGATCAGCTCTGGGTTCAGACTAACTCCTATATACCCACATCCATCCAAATCTGAAAAGTCACACAAGGACTCCCTGAACCACCCAAGCTTTCCAGTGTCATTTTCAATCCATCCCCCTGGGCTGTAAGTGCTTCTTTACTGCCTGAAATGGGAATCTCAAAGCTGCCCCAAAGGTACCCTTTGAAGAACCAGCCCCACCTCTCACCACCGTGAAGACACAGGTTGCTGAAGCCCAAATGCCTTGGAAGCAAGGCCTGTGCTGCCCCCCCTTCCCTGCAGAACCCTCCTCCTCCAAACTCCCCAGCCTGTAAGGAAGGGTGGAAATACCTCGTTGTGCTGGAGATTGGGGCAGTGCAGGGCAATTCAATGCCCTGCAGCAGGATGGCCTCAACTCTCTGGGCCAACAAAACCAGGGGGAGTCTTTGCTCAGCTCACTCGCTGTTGGAAGCACAAGGAACAGAGCAAACCACAGGTGACAGAAGAAAAGGTCACAGCTTTTGGCTGTATGAGCAGTTCCAGGGATCAGGACATTCATCACATCCCAACTGCTGTGTGTGTGCAGCGTGGGGATGTCCTGGACACCAACTCAAGCACCTTATTTCTGGTGTGTCTGTGGAGATCTGTCCCCAAGGTGACAGTGTTTAGAGTGAGATTAGTCAGATGTGGTGGGGTGACCCACTCAGGTCACAGGGAATTCTGCATCAAAGTCATTCAGGTGACTCTGAGGAGCCCCACTCAGTCATGGCTTGCCCAGGGTCTCCTCCAGGCATTCCAGGAGCTCCTGTCTCTCCTGATCCCTTGTTGCTGACAAGCAAGGATACCTGGGGGCATGTGGGCAGAAAAGAGAGGTCCAGAAGAATAAGTGAAGTTATGGCCCATGGCAGAAAGGGACACAGGCAAGGAAACACGACAACATTCAATATGACAAACCACTACAAAATGAACATTGTGAAAATTATCATCAACTCCCACGGCCACGTCAGTCCTGAAATCTTTGGGATTGTTCTGATCTCACAAAACCAAGCTGAAGCACTTGAAATTCAAGAAAGGCGGAAAGAAAGATTAAAAGTATGGAGCAGCTTCTGTTCAAAAACTGAATGGGATTCCTCAACCTGGAAACTGAATGGGAGATAGATGGGAGAGGTTTGCAAAAGCATGAATGGCACGGGAAATGGGAACATGGAAAAATTTGTCATGATTTGTCATCAAACAGGAACCTGAGGGCCTGAAAATGTTATTAGTCAGAAACAACAGAGAAGGGGTAGTACTTTTCCAGGGAATATCCCGTCCTTTAGAACACACTGCCAGGGCAGGCTGTAGAGGCTCGCAGCTATAAATCCAGGGAGCAACTGGACCAACTCTTGGAAGATAAAACCATCAGAAGCTATTATAGAAAGATGAGAATAAAGCCCCCAGCACGGGAAAACGCCGACTCCAGAGCCCGGGAGGGAGGGAGCAGATGCTCTGCCTGTCTCTCACGCTTTGCTAAACATCTCCCGGAGAGGAGCCGGGGCCGCGGCCACCCCGGCGCTGCTGCTGCGGGTGCTGAGGGCTCTGCTGCAGGATGGAGGCTTTGCCAGAGCACCTCATACCACACGGGGAAGTAGCTGGCACGTGCTGAACATATATACCCCCCCAAAGTGGCGGTGCAGAAGGGCAGGCTCGGGGTGCCAGCGAGCCGGGAGGAAGCCGCAGATCCTTCTGCCGAGCAGAGGAACCGACACAGAGAGAGAGTGGAGCTGCCAGGGTTGGCTGAGGGCAGCTGCAGACTTCACGTCCTGGGTGCCAAATGAAATGTGACATTTCGTTTAAGGCTCTTGGTTGTTTAATACATATGTTTAAAAAATAAATCTCCCGTACTGTACCGGGGCTGCAGCACGAGGCATTTCGCTTGACCGCGGTGTGCGGTTTGGGATGCTCTGCTGCCATGAAAGCACGTTTACTGAGTCTAGATGGATCTGCCCTATCATTATTTACACAACACGATCTTATTACAGCCTGTCAATTCTCTCATCCTTCCATCCTTTGGATGTATTTCCTACAGATGGCAGGACACAGCTCTCTCTACAACCAGAGCAAAGCAATGCCTGGACTTAAAATTCAAAGCCAGGCTTTCAATAAAGCAGCAGAGCAGATGTGTTTGGGTTGTGCCCTCCTAAATAATGCTCTGACGCAGCAGAAACACCACTGTGTTTTATCCCAGCTGCATGACTATGGACACAGGTATCTTATCACACCACGATCACTTTTCACTGCCCAAAAGTAAGAAATCAAGCACTGGGTCATCCTCTGTGGGGCCTGTAAAAAGAATGAGAGAGAATTTACAGAAGAGCTATAACATTTCTCTGAATTCTTCTAATACTACATGATCAGCCTGGTGCTAGAGGGAATACTGCTCAGAGCAGCACAAATTGTTCTTAAATAGAAAGACAAATGTTGTTTAGCCTGAACATATATCTCAATGAATGGATGAGCAAACCCTTGAACAAGATTTCAAAACAAATGTCAGGGTTTATGAAGAATGCTTTCCTGGGGTTCAACAGCTAGTACTTTCCTTCATCAATTACTGCTCTAAATATTGGGAAACTGGTAGCCAGACTGATTGGACTGAAGAGAAATAAAACAGCCCCTGCTGCATTTTGTCTTCACTGAGACATATTCTTCCTCTATCCCTGTCAGTCCCTCTTTGCTGAATTTGGATTTTAAATCTTTTAGGAGAGCACGACAGTCAAGTTTGGAATGTTTTGGCTATTATGGAAAGCAAGTCCAATCACATTTGCTCAGCCTTGCTCTCATCTCCTTTATGAGCACAGCTGAATCATTCCCAGGCTACAACAAACCTCAGAGCATCCTCATCATCACCACTGCTGCAGTTATTGCTGTTAATGGTCAGAAGTCCCCAGCAAAGCACCTGCTGAGCCCAGGCAGCACACTGCAAGAGGAAGGCACTGCAAGGAAGCACAAGACAACAGATGGGGAAGAAATGGGAGGTGGAAAGCCATGGACAGCCAGCAGTGGGCTCCAGGACTGGTTGTGGCTCTTCAGACAGCTCTCTGGCACACTAAAAGTCAACTAATTTTCAATCATACTCCTTGTTGTGCATCCAAATACATTATCTCCTCTGCACTGTGCTTAGGAAGGTCTGTTTGCCTTGCTACAGGATGAAAGACTCTGGCACAGGAATATCTGGGAGCTAGCACAGGGGCCTTTTGTGGAAGAGCCTTGCAGAATGTGCTGGAAAGGACACGGACAGCGCCGGATGATGAAAGGCAGCTCTGCCCCATGGCCAGGGTGCCACGGGCCATTTTTAATCTTTATTGCTGCTACAGTAATGATACACTGGGGTACCTGCCTGGCTGAAACATTGCTTTTGGCCCGTGGGGAAAACACTGCAGGAACTTTCATTCTAATGGTCTGGCAAAGACAGACTCAATACACCACTTAATAAATCAATCACCCTTCAGGCTGCTCTGCTGCCTCTCAGGAGATGCTGATTGATCCAGGAGGAAAAGAAGCTAATGAATGGGCGGTTCTGCCCTGAAACACATCCAGAGGTAATGACACTAAAGAACACATTGGTGATCTCCACTGGTGATGGAGTAGACAAGCTGCGGTCAAGGATGACCTGCAAAGAGATGGAAACCACATCCTTCCAGAAATCCTTCATGTGCTAAAAATGGGCTGTCTCTGTGAGTACCTGGGGATGAACAAAACAGCCCAAAGAAGAGTTTTAACTTCCAAACAACCCTCCTAGTCCACACCCCCCAGCCTGTGGAGTCACCTCCGCAGGGGGATTGTCAGGAGGGGTGTTATGGAGTTGTGGAGCTACAAAGTTGTGCAAAAAAACCCCCAAAACCTGAGCAAACAAAGCACAAACTTTATTCCCCTTCATCTACCCTCAAAATGACAGACCATCTGTCTTGAAACACAGGGCCCTGGTGAGAGGGCAAAGGCCATAATCTGTTTGCAAGCAGCAGGATGACCTTATCTAAAACAGTATAAAATCATTATTACAAGCAGTTCTAGACAAAGGGGACAGAGGCAGGAAGCAGTTGTTACCTATTAGCTGTTTTGACAGAAATGAGCACTTTGGAGACCAATTAGACTCACCCATCAATCTAATTAATTGGAACTATAAAAGCCTATAACCAATCAGCTAGATAAAACATTAGGTACCAATCCTGCATCTGTGGCAGCGCTGCTACTATTAAGACACAAAAATCAACATATAATTGCACAAACTCCTACTTATACCTTTTTTTTTGCCTACAATATCTGCCTCCCTCAACTCACTTTGAAGGACATGAAAGTTCAACAGGAACCAGCCATACTGCTGGGAATTCTCACAAGGAAAGAGGAGAAGCAGAAGGAGCCCCTGCCACCAGCAGGAAGAAAAATCCCTTCACAAAGTTTTTAAATGCCTGATAGTCCAAGGCAAAGCTAGAGCAGCCTCTTGTTAATAACTGCAGCATCAGTCTGGCTTACACCTTAAGGTAACACAGTAAACAAGATCTTCTTTTAAAACTCACACAGTTAAATAAGTTTCCAGTCATCTGCCAGCACCAAACACAGACAGGAAAAATTGCATCACTTGGTGCACCACACTGAAGCCTGGAGTCAGAAGAGGCTGCTGCTTGGGAAGGAGAAAGTTCCCTCTCCTCTGAGCACCTGTAAGAAGCTCCTACCAATCTGTCTGGGGTTGAAGGAATGGAGAATTGCATGAAGATGGACAGCTCCAGGCTGGAACAGCAGTGGCACACAGCAGTGGCCATCAGGAGCTCAGGGTGTGTTGACATGAATTTAGCCCAGCAGTAACTTATCACTGCTCACAGCGGCAGCAAAGCCCCTGCAAACACTCACACGAGGCTGATTTCAACCTGAAAATGGTTTTGGGATTCCCACTCTGGTATCCTGCACAGCACAGGGATGACTCAGATAAATACCTAACGCAGCAGTGAGTTGCCCAGGCAAGTATTGAGCGTCCTCCACTCTGGCTGAAGTCAATATAAATGGAAAGCACTCAGGAACTTGTTTGAGTGATCTCAGGAATGTAAAAATGCAACACGACAAGAGCTAAACCTCAGTTAAACCCTGCTGCCTATCCACATCCATCGGGGGATTTGCAAAGGAAAAAAAAAAAGAAAGGGGAAAAAAAAAAGAAAGGAAGGAAAAGGCTTGATCTAAAGACTAAATCAATAGGGTTTTCATTTCATTTTTCAAACAAGTTCCTGAAAGCCACTGATTGAAGTGCCAGCCTTGCCAAACAGTTGACAACCCCTGGTAGAAAGGGGGTTCTTAAGGAGAGAGAACAGAGCTATGCAAAGGTGGTTGTTTTCTGCAAAGTCCAGGCAAAGGCACAGATGAGTATCAGAGCAAGGCAGTGCTTCTCTTGCTTTACCCTTGTGGGCAGCTGAGATGTTGACAGGGGCTGGCACACCCGTGCTACAGCCTCAGCCAGCAATAATCCACCAGGGCTGGGGTTTGAGGAGTTCCCTGCACGTGCACAGTGACCACTGACACACCCCCAAGCCCTTGCATGGTCTCACACACTGCAGGAAGCTGATTTGGCCAAACCCAGCATCAGCTTTACCCAGAGAAAGAGATTCAGCATCATGACACGTTTGTGTGCGGCTGAGCAGCCCTGTGCTGCTCTGAGCAGCCACTAACACAGCTGGCAACTCCCTCTGGCCCACTTGCAGTGCCATGTAGCCTCTACTACAGCTCACCAGCGTGGCCAAGACACACAGGCTGCTTCCCCTGCTGCCAGTCAAGCACACCCAGTTCTGTAGTTACTCATCATCTTCACCGAGCCCCAATGGCTCTAATACATCCCATCAAACTCGCTGCTGTTCCACAGGTTCCACTGAAGAGCTCCACAACAGCTCCCAGGGCTTCTTTCTCCGTGCTGCAGTCTCCTGCTATGGAACATGAGGCTGATCACGCTTTGCCCTACACCTGCCAGGCAGCAATGGGGAGGAAACGATGCTGTGGAGCCCCTTTGCCTGTGCTCCGTGAGAGACCTCCTGCCAACTCACAAGAGCCCTCCAGTCCTGGCTGCTTTAGTCCTGTTGTATTGAAGTGTGGGATGCAGAGGCACAGAGGGCAACTCAGATAAAGTGTCTGTGGCAAGACAGTGGAGAAACAGTGGATGGGACAGAGGTGTGCAAGAGACAGGGGGCACTGGAGAGAGTCTGGTAGAGATGCTACATGTCATATATACACGTCACTGTCTAAGAAAACTTGACCCCTATGTATCCACACTGGAATGGAGAACCAAGGTTCCTCCTTCCTCCACTCAGCAACTCCCAGAAAAACAGGATTCCAAAAATCTCATCCTTGTTTGAGGGGATCCACTTTATCAACACCCTAAACACCAACTAGTTTTTTGCTTTTCTTTGTGGTAAAGCTGGGACAGGGGCTGGAGAGGGAATTGGGGTGGCTGGAACAGTGGGGAATGATGGAAGAGGGGGGTGCTGGATGGAGAACACTGTTGACAGCAGGGTGCCCCCCAGGGATGTGCACAGCATATACAGAACAGGGACAGACTCAGCCTTGGCCCTTTCTCTGCTCAATTCTAAGCACTGAAACAGGGAGGCTTTGAAAGAAATGGTTCCAGAAATAGTTTGCAAAGCAAGTTTAACATTATTCTGCTTGGGAAGGGCTCTTCTCTGGAGGATGCAGAGAGTGCACCCTGCAGTGCCCAGCACTCACCTGTGCCACAGGGCACTACCAGGGGTGTGGAACAATCCCTGGTCTGCAGAGGAAGGAATTCCACTGTCATTTGTATGGTGTCATCAGTGTCAAGAGTCCCAACAGCTGGAATGACAGAGAAGGGGCTGCAACACAGAGAGAGATCAGGACTCCTGAGGGAGATTTGGGGATGACATTCCTTTTGCAGTTCACTTCAGCTCACTTGTGCAAGCAAGGAGCAAACCAACCACAGCCAGCGGAGAGCAGAACACATGGGATGAGAAACTGCTCCTGGCTCACTTCTGAGGAGATCCAGCCCTCAGAAGTTTCCGTGGGACAAAATGACTTCATCTCCCCCATACTCTGCATCCAGTTCTCTGCAAGGAGGCTCTGCCAGCAACCCCATCAGAGCATGGTTTGTGAAGAGCACAGAGAGGGTTAAGAGCTCTTTGCATGAACAACCTGACACTCACTACCTCAGGAGTCTTTCTTTTCCTGCCACCTATAAACCTTACTGTCCTGGTTAGAACGGCTGGGACCAATTCATCCCTGGATGGGTGTA